TGCCACAATCCGCGAGAATGCACTTTTGCACGTGTTTGGTTTGGTTCTCGGCTTCGCTTCCAAAATCGTCTCGAATCGGCAAAAATAGCTTATCTTTACCTAAAATATAAATAAAACAAAAACAACATAATATATACAAATAAAGCCGAAAACTCGGACAAACGAGACCAAAACTCGAAGAATTGATAAGTGAAAATCATGCAAAATGAACACTTATCACTAATTCCCTTTCTGGAACAAACGGTCGGCTATGGCGACGTATGAATTCCCTTTTGGCCTCGACGTTCACGTACAAAAACTCATCTCCCGGTTCGAGGACTACGCGGTCAAGGATGGTGTGTTGATTAGCACGAGATCCCATCTCAAGTTGCACGTTTCCCGTGCGTGGGGTTTGTTGCTCTTCCGGCACCTGAGATGGTGGTGGTGCGCTCGAAGTGCCTTCTTGGCTTCCCGTGCCTCGAGAGGCTGCCTTTTTCTTCGGTGCGGCTTTTCCTTTTGCCGGAGCCTTCTCCTTGGGTTGGGCTTTTTTGGTGGTTTCGCCCGTCTTTAAGAGTTTCTTGGCCGGCGACGTCATTTCGTTCGAATTTGTGCGAGATGGAGGGTCGAAAGCCTTTGGAAGTTCGTTCGGGAATTTTGTCGAACACTTGGCGTGCCCAACTTGGTAAGCCTTTTGATTTCCACCGGTTGTTCGGTACCTATCCCTCCTACATCAATCACAACACCCAAGTGAGAATCCACCACTACATACAACATTAGGTAGCAAAACAATCAACCCAAGTCATTCAAATTTTTAGTTTATCCTTCATTTCGAAATTAAGAACAATAGGGCAATTCCTATATCTAAACATTGGTTCACCCGCAAATTCATGTTTTGAATCCCAACACCTAGTACAAAATCACGTACTAGCATACACAATTAACAAACAAGGGGAAAAAAAACATGAAATTTTGGGGAAATTCGAAAGAATTGAAGAAAATAAAAAAATTAAGACTAGATTGAAAATTTAGGCAATGTTTGGAACCATTTCCATTTTGTTTTCATTGTTTCCCCAAAACAAAATGAGATTTATTACACTTTTCAAATCATTTTCTCAAAACAATTTCAAAAGTTTTTCTCTCCTTCAGACATGATGTGACTGCTACAGTAAAATGATTTGACTGCTACAGTAAAAAATGTCTTCACTAAAAAACAAATAAACATTACTTCATATTTCAATTTTTTTCTTCAAAAATATTTTTTTCTAACACTTTTAAACATGATGTGACCGCTACAGTGTATTTTGTCTCCTTCCAAAATACAAACAAACATTACTTTCATTCTCAAATTATTCCCCCAAAACATATTTCCTCAAAATGAAATCAAAATAAGATCCAAAACGCTTCCAAACATTGCCTTACCTTTTCTTGAAGATTCACCCACAAATTCTTGGAATAAATGTGCAAATCGTGAATTTGTGATGATCAAGTGTGTGATTGATGTGCTTTTGATGAAAGAAATTGAAGATTTTGAAATTGGGGAGGGGTTAGGGTTTGGAATTAGAAAAGGGAGAATAAGAAAATGAAAGGGGTTTGTGAATTTTGTACTGTTTTTCGACCCCAGATCGCGATCCACAATACCCGGATCGCGATCTGGGGGCTTACCTTGCAGCTTCTGGAAAAAGACCCCAGATCGCGATCCGACTTACCTGGATCGCGATCCGGGCCCCAAATTCGCTGCTACTGGAAAATCACCCCAGATCGCGATCCGACTTACCTGGATCGCGATCCGGGCCCAAAATTGGCTGCTACTGGAAAAAGGCCCCAAATCGCGATCCGACTTACCTGGATCGCGATCCGGGACACCTAAAACCTGCCAAAACGAAAATTTTAAATGGGTAGGATAGAGATGTTGAACCCTAAATTATAAAAATGCACGAAAATGAAAAAAAATAAAAACGAAAACAAGATCAAAAAGGAAAATGACAGATAATGAGCAACAATGGGGTGCCTCCCATTTAGCGCCTGTTTTACAGTCGACGGCTCGACTTCTTTTGGATTTATTGGGAGAAAATTAGTGCGACACGCTCCACTTCCTCGGGAGCACCATTCGGGTAGTAATGCTTAACTCGTTGCCCATTCACTTTGAACGATGGACCGTCTCGTCCTCGTATTTCGATTACTCCTTGTGGGGTTGCGCTCAGAACTACGAATGGTCCTGACCAACGGGACTTGAGCTTGCTCGGAAATAGTCGTAGCCGAGAATTGAATAGCAGGACTTGGTCACCTGCCCGGAACTCTCGCTTTGTAATTCTTTTGTCATGCCACTGTTTCGTCTTTTCTTTGTAAATCTTGGCATTTTCGTAAGCATCATTTCTGAACTCCTCCATCTCGTTGAGTTGAAGCAATCGACGATCGCCGATAGCTGTTTGATCGAAATTGAGCTTTTTGACTGCCCAATAAGCTCGGTGCTCCAATTCCACTGGCAGGTGGCACGCTTTCCCATACACGAGTTTGTACGGAGACATCCCAATTGGTGTCTTGAATGCGGTTCGATAGGCCCAAAGTGCATCATCGAGCTTCAATGCCCAATCTTTTCGGTTCGTGCTCACGGTCTTCTCTTGAATCTGTTTGATTTCTCGGTTTGACAACTCAGCAAGGCCATTTGTTTGTGGATGATAGGCTAGCGCAATTTTGTGTCGGATCCCCAACTTGTTCGTGAGATTAGTGAGCAGTTTGTTGCAGAAGTGAGATCCTTCATCGCTAATGATTGCCCTGGGTGTCCCAAACCTTGAGAAGATGTTCTTGTGGAAGAATTTGAGGACCGTACGAGCATCGTTGGTAGTGGTGGCAATCGCTTCGACCCATTTGGACACGTAGTCCACGGCAAGCAAAATGTATAACTTCCCGTTCGAAGATGGGAATGGTCCCATGAAGTCTATGCCCCAAACATCGAAAAGCTCCACCTCTTGCATGTTGCTCAAAGGCATTTGGCTTTTGTTGGAAAGGTTCCCTGTTCGTTGGCATCGATCACACCGTTTCACGAACTCGTAACTATCTCTGAATAGGGTTGGCCAAAAGAAGCCTGACTGCAGAACCTTGGCGGCTGTGCGAGATTCCCCGTGATGCCCGCCACAAGGTGAAGAGTGGCAATGTGTGAGAATCTCACGTACTTCAGTTTCCGGAACACATCTTCGGATGACACGATCGGGGCCGGTTCTTAAAAGCAATGGCTCGTCCCAAAGATAGAAACGGCTGTCGTGAAGGAATTTTTTCTTTTGATGATAAGAAAGATCGTCGGGAATGATTCCACTGGCCAAGAAGTTGGCCACATCAGCATACCACGGAGTGTGAGTACTAATGGCGAGCAGTTGCTCGTCTGGGAAGGACTCCTGAATATTTCCTTCGGCTGGAACTTCTTCTAGTATGAGTCTGGAAAGATGATCTGCTACCACATTCTCGCTCCCCTTTTTGTCTCTGATTTCCAAGTCGAACTCCTGGAGTAGGAGTACCCATCTGATGAGTCTGGGCTTGGCGTCCTTCTTTGCGAACAAGTAACGAATAGCTGCGTGGTCGGTGTAAATGATCACCTGAGACCCCAAAATATACGGTCTGAACTTGTCAACAGCATAAACGACAGCAAGCATTTCCTTTTCGGTCGTTGAATAGTTCTTCTGTGCCTGGTCAAGTGTACGACTCGAATAGTAGATGGCTTTGAAGATTTTATCCCTCATTTGTCCCAATACTGCACCTACAGCATAGTCGCTCGCATCGCACATGATCTCGAATGGTTCCTCCCAATTGGGAGTAATCATGATCTCAAGACCCTTTTTCGATACCTTGTGACCTAGAACAATACCTTCACGAACCATAAAATGACATTTTTCCCAATTTAAAACAAGGTTCGTTTCTGTACATCTTTTCAAAACAAGTTCTAGATTGTGCACACAATGATCGAAAGACGATCCAAACACAGAAAAATCATCCATAAACACCTCAAGAAACTCTTCTACCATATCGTGAAATATAGACATCATACAACGTTGAAAGGTAGCAGGCGCATTACACAAACCGAAAGGCATCCTACGAAATGCAAAAGTACCGTAGGGGCAAGTAAAAGTAGTTTTCTCTTGGTCTTCCGGGGCGATTGAAATTTGATTGTACCCCGAATAACCATCAAGAAAACAGTAATACTCGAAACCTCCTAGCCTGTCTAGCATTTGATCGATAAAGGGAAGGGGGAAATGGTCTTTTCTAGTGGCTGCATTCAATAATCTGTAATCGAAACACACACGCCACCCAGTGACTGTTCTAGACGGAATAAGTTCATTTTTATCATTCACAATAACCGTCATCCCACCCCTTTTTGGCACAACCTGCACCGGACTGACCCACGGACTGTCAGAAATTGCATAAATCATACCAGCGCCTAACAATTTCAAGACTTCTTTTTTGACTACCTCTTTCATTGACGGGTTTAACCGCCTCTGAGGTTGGACTCTCGGTTTATAGACGTCTTCCATTAGAATTTTGTGTTGAACAATTGATGGTCTAATTCCCTTAATATCCTCAATAGACCAACCTATAGCTGACCTATATTCTCTAAGGACTTCCAGCAGTGTGTTTGTTTCGGCCTCGCTCAAACTAGAAGAAATAATCACCGGATAGGTCTTGTCTGCTCCAAGAAAAGCATAACAAAGATAATCCGGTAATTGCTTCAATTCCAGTACGGGGGCCGTTTTCACACTAACTGGTATCTCGGGGACGATCCCTACCTCGTCTAACCCTAAAATCTCGGCACACTCAAGAAACAACACACAATCAAGCACATCATTTTCAATAGGGGTTTCAGGGGAGGCAGAATGCAAATCAATAGAGTTAACAATGCAGTGCTCAACAGAATCACATAATTCACACAAATCAAAAAAGGAGGAAACACAGTCCTCGATCACGTCTATTCTACTGCAATGCTCAACATGCTCAGAGTGTTTAAATGCATCTGTCAAATTAAAAACAACTTCTTCCCCATTTACCCTAAGCATTAAAGATCCTAATTCCATATCAATCATCGCCTTACCAGTGGCTAAGAATGGACGACCTAAAATGATTGGTGCTTCATCATCTTCAGGCATTTCAAGTACCACAAAATCAACAGGCAAAATGAATTTATCTACTTTAACTAGCACATCTTCTACAATCCCATCGGGATATTTCAATGAACGATCAGCTAGCTGTAAAGTCATGCGAGTGCGGTTCAAATTTCCTAAGCCCAGTTTTAGAAACACAGACATAGGCATCAAATTAATACTTGCCCCCAAATCACATAAAGCTTTATCGAAAGTAGAATTGCCAATAATACAAGGAATAGTGTAACTCCCTGGATCTTTCATTTTCGGTGGTAGATTCGACTGAAGAATGGCACTGCACGTTGCCGTGAGTGTCACTGGTATGTCTTATTCGATCCGAATTTTCTTGGATAGGACTTCCTTCATGAACTTGGTGTAGTTTGGCATTACCTCCAAGGCTTCTGCAAAAGGGATGTTGATTCGAATCTGCTTGATCTTTTCAATGAACTTCTTCAATTGATCCTTGAACTTCTTCTTCTTCTGTCTTTCTGGAAAAGGAATAGGAGTTACCATAAGAGGGGGATTATCAGGAAAAGAAATGTTATTGGGCTTACTAGCCTCTTTTGTACTACTTCCTGAAATGGTGATTTCCGGCTCGATCGGGGTCGGTTGTACAGCTGGCCTTGGTGATTCGTCTGTCGGATAAGGAGGATCAGTCATTTGCAAACCACTTCGGGTGGTTATGGCTTGACAGCTTTCCTTTGGATTGACTTCGGTATTGCTCGGAAATCCACCCTTGGCCATTGTGGACATGGATTGGGCGATTTGCCCTATTTGCTTTTCCATGTTCTTCATTGTTGATTTCAGGCCCTCCATTTCATGTTCTTGTCGGTGAAGACGCTCGTCGTACGTTGGCCCTCGTTGCTCTCTTTGATGGTTGAGATCGGGAGGTGGTTGTAGAGCATTCTTCGGATTGGCATAGGAGAAGTTCTCGTGATTCCGAATTCCCGGGTGATAATGAGTAGGGTTTTGGTTCTGATTGTGGGTTCCCCGGAAATTGTTGAATCGGTGGTTCATAAAGTGTGCCTGCTCCCAATCGTCGTTTGTGGCTTGTGAAGTACTTGCTGTTGCTACTCGTTCGATCTGTGGCCCTCGAACTGAAATTTGGGCGACCTGATTTGATAGGATCGCTAATTGTGCTGAAACTGCGGCTAAAGGATCGAGTTGGTGGACTCCGGCCACCTTTTGTACACCACTCCGTTCGGACGGCCAATGGTAAGCATTCTCACACATTCGCTCGACAATGTCTCGAGCGTCTGTGGGAGTCTTGTTTTGCAATGATCCACCTGAAGCAGCATCGACTAAAGATCGGGCTGGTTGATCAAGCCCATTGTAGAATAACTCCATTTGATCCCACGGGTTGAATCCGTGTTGAGGGCATTGTCGTAATAAGTCTTTGAATCTCTCCCAAGACTCGTGCATCGGCTCTTGGCTCATCTGCCTGAAATTGCCTACATCTCTTCGTAGTTGTGCGGTCTTCGAGGGTGGAAAGAATCGTGCCAGAAAGGCTTGTGATAATTCTTCCCAACAGGTGAGTGATCCTGGATTAAGACTCAGAAGCCAACTCTTCGCTTTGTCTCTGACAGAAAATGAGAATAGCTTCAACCGAATGGCATCATCAGAAACGCCGTTAACTTTGATCGTGTCACAAATCTCCAAGAAATTGGCAAGATGGAGATTCGGATCCGCAGTTGCTGCTCCGGAGAATTGGTTCGCCATGACCATGTTGATTAGCCCCGTCTTCAGCTCGAAGTTGTTTGCGGCTATCGTCGGTTTCCTGATTCCCGAATAGTTCTCATTCATAGCTGGAGTTCGGTATTCTCGCATTGTTCGCTCGGGTGGCAGGTTCGGTCTTGGCTGCTCGTGATCTCGTCCTGGCTCTCGATCGTACTCAAAGGCCAGGTGCTCTGGATTTCCTTGATCTTCGGCCATTGATTCACTTTGTTGGTTGCGCGTGGCCCTTAGTCTACGTAATGTCCTTTCAATCTCGGGATCGTAAGGTATGATTTCCAAATTTCGACGCCTGGGCATAAACAAAGTGAGTGGTTAAGATCAAGGTAAAAATCGAAAATAAAACATGTAAATGGCTAAAGTAATAATCAGATAATTGGTAACACTATCAACAAAGATAAAATCAAATTGGTCCCCGGCAACGGCGCCAAAAACTTGATACGCGTTTTCCTCACGTATAAATTACCGCAAGTATACGGTATCGCATTTTGCAGAACAGTGGTTCCGGATATCGATCCACAGGGACCTGGTAGATTCAAATGCTGAGTAGTGTAATTATATTATCGTTATATTATCTAGCCGATCGTAAATAAGTGGATTGGTGATAAACCCTAATTTATAAGCATGCAAGATCGTAAACATGCAAATATGGAATGTACGTAAATAAAGTAACGAAAACTCAACGCGGGGGACTTCGATTTAAAGGGGACTTCTAGGGCCAAATCCACCTATGTATAATCAACAACGATCGACAAATCCGCTATCTAAAATCACGTTCCTATTCGTTAACCCAGACGCTAATGTACTCTAACCCCCGTCTCCAGTGTAGTTAGAGTCTACCCACAGGTCCGACGTCTCCGTTCAGAACCTGCTATTAAGAGAGCATTTAGGTCAAGTCCTTAAGGGCTACCCGAAGTGCATCACGTCTCTGTTTCCACACCCCGAGCTATGTTTTCCTAACTTCAAACAAGAAATCCTCTCTCGAGTTCATTCCTATTTAATATCAATCTGAGAGCTGATCAACACAATCAGAAGCATTTAATACAGGAAAACATAAACGAAATCAAAACACGACAAATAGATAGCAGAAATAACGATCGAAATCAATATATACAAGGCTTCATTGCCCTAGAAGAAAATGTTCTTAGTTCATAACAAACATAGTATCAAAAGAATGTACAAAGGAAATGAAGAACAAAACGTAAAGAAATTGCGTAAGAAAAACCCAAGTCGGAACCCCCGTTGATGATTCCCGCGAAGAACTGTCGAAAACCGTAAAAAGTCGAAGTAGAACGAAGAACGAGGGCTTGCTTCTATTTATAGTAAATTGCAAAGCTTCCTCAAGAAGCTTTGCTTTATAAAATATCTGCCCTCGAAAATCGTGCCAGATCGCGATCCAATAAAGTCGGATCGCGATCTGGCTTCTCGAAAAAACGTGAACCGCCTCCCAGATCGCGATCCAGGAAGTGCGGATCGCGATCTGCCCCAAAATCACGATGCCACTGGAAAAACGCCCCAGATCGCGATCCGGCTTTCCTGGATCGCGATCTAGGTCTGAACTTGCTTGCTTCTGGAATTTGCATCTAGATCGCGATCCGGCTTTCCTGGATCGCGATCTGGGTCTTAATGACCACTTTCTCGGCTTCAAAAATCGGTTTCGCTTCCAAATGGCTTCGACTTGGCAACAAAAGCTAACAAAACCTAAAAATAGGAAATAAAACAAGAAACGCAATAATATATACAAATAAAGCCGAAACTCGGACGAACGAAGACCAAAACTCGAAGATTTGATAAGCAAAAATCGTGCAAAACGAACACTTATCAATGGTCCCGGTGGAAGCTTTGTGTTCCGAAGTTTTGCTACCAAGACATGAAAAAATGTCAACGATAAAAAAAGTAACAAAAGTGTAACAAAATCAGTTTCATTTTTTTTTTCTTTTTTTCTGCAATTGAGGTGTAATAATAAAAAATGTGGTATGTTTTTATATAGACATGTAAAAACCGACATTAATTTGGTATTCGACAGATGCTTTAGTCTTGGTACGTACAAGGCATACCAAACAATTTCCAAAATTGAAATTTTTTTGGGTCACTTTATTCTTCTTAGTTTGTTGCTTGTCGATATCATTGAATGTGCAATTATGTGTATTATTAGTACACTTGCATCCCTTTTTTTTTTTAAGAACAATAATAAGATTTTCACCAGGTGTAGTATAAATTTAACCCCATGTTATATGTATGACACTCAAATTACTACATCGTATTATAATTTTTAGGGGAAACTACAGTTTGCACCCCTGAACTATAGGGTCTGTCACAAATACCCCCTTGAACTATAAAACGTAACAAAATGGCCCCTCTGTTTCGAATCTGTTAGTGGATGATGACGTGGCATTCTGACTTTTATGTTTTTGTAGCAGTTTTATGACCTTTGATTTTTTTTTTAGGTTTTGCCCCCAAGACTGGTACATATAGTTGTATGGGGTCTGAAATACACTTTCCAAAACCATGGGGATATAAATCAAAACTTTGATTTCTTTCAAAATGACCTCAAATAAGGGTCAACTGAAACATAGGGGGACTGAATTGCAGTTTTACAACACACCATGTAAAGCCCAAATTTTATTTTCTTCATCCAAAACCACCACCACCAGCATTCGTCTTTCACCGTCAAAACCCACTCCACAACCCAGGCATCATCACCACCTAAAATACATTGGGACACACCTACGCCACCGAAGTCTGCCGTCGGATCCCCGCACAGTCCCTTGAGCGAATTGTGCCACCCAATTTTTCGCTGTCAATCGCGCAACGACCCCGCTATCGAAACAACACCGCCGAAAAAAAACATTAGCACACACCTCACGCCGCCGTAGTCCGACGGATCCCCGCACAAATCCGCTGATTTCACAGCCCAAAAATAGGGGTTTGATGGTAGAAAGAGTGTTGAGTTGTGGGTGTTCTTGAATTTTGTGTTAATTTGCCGAAAAGTAAAGTAAATTTATAAAATAGTATATGAATTATGTTGGGTTTCTTAAATTTTGTGTTAATTTACGTTGTGCAAAAGAAATTAGAAAAGTATACATGGAATTGCTTCTCTCTATCACGATGAAGAAGACAGAATAGGAGAGATACGGTTAAAAGAAAAATACAGAGAAAATGTGGTTTTGTTGACGGTGTTAGGTTTTAAAGGGCAAAAAGGTAAATTTACAAGAAAACTGACGGTGTGAGTTTTTTAAACGTTGACCATAAATGACAGGGACTATTTTGGTACGACTTGTAGTTTAAGGGGGTGTTTGTGACAAGCCCTATAGTTCAGGGGTGCAAACTGTACTTTCCCCTAATTTTTATACCAGAATTTCTATATTTTATTAGGGATGTTATAAATTGGAAGCAAATAAGACATGAATTTTTGAAAAAATATATTTAAATTATATTTGAACCGTACGCTTTCAATTCTATCTTACTCTTTTCTTTCTTTCCGAAATGTGTTCAACTTATACCACCACTCACATTTGTGTGGTAGGAGATTACGAGTTTGATCTCATCATATGTTGGTACGCGCATGCATTATAGTAAGATCGTTTACAGAGCATGTTATATTATTATCAAAGACAATATCCGATTCGAGAGATCACTTGTGTGTATATAGAAATTTGGGTTTGAGTTAATTAGTTCGGTATCTTCGTACAAAATCGGATTAATAGAAATTTGACTGACTAAAATCAACAAGAATCAACTGTTTGTTAAAAGTCGTTAATTGGGTAAGGCGATTTTGGGACAGAAAACGAACTGGTAGGCAAATAAATGTTTGAAATTAAGATCTCCCTCCATGTTTTAATTGTTGCATATATACCAGAAAAGAATTATGTTCACAGTGATGATGTTCCAGGGATGCAAAATTAAAATCATGATTTTAAATTTCCAAAAAGAAAAATGGGAACGGGAAATAAGTAACCTCATAAAATAAATAAAAGTAACGGTATGTAAAATAATATAGTGACCCTAAAAATAATTGTAGAGTGAATCTTATATAAAAAGAAATAAACGTTAAGACAACCTAAAAAACACTAATGGCATATTTGTAAAAATAATTTAATTTATGTGTATATATAATTTTCTTTATCTCCTATTTTGCAGCCATTTTTTTTAATTAATTTAACACCAAATTTCGGCTACAACAATCATAATCCATTATATATATATATATGGAAACATGGAAAATTCCATTTTAGATTTTCTGCAGGATGGGTGAAAAGGGAGTTTATTCAATTTTCATGGAATACTCTAATTTTTGGCTTTGAAACACAAAGAGAAGCGGAGCATGTGAGATGTAAAAATGGAGCAGTTTTTATTAGTGCTCTGTTGTTCTTGATACGGCGGTTAGTTTTTTTTTTTTGTGTTGCAGAACGTGCAACGGATAAATAGGAAAATAGAAAATGATCGTGTATTTATCATTAATCATTGTTTATTTATTACTTATAAAAAAGGTGTATTTAATAAAAAAATAAATAATAAGTTTAAGATATCGGGTGATATTAAAAACCAATAAAAAGAAGAAAACAAAATTAGAGAAACAAAAATAATGCCTAACTAAAATCGCATATTAATTCATTTAAAGGAAATTTAAAACTGCTAATTTATTAATTGACAAAATTGCCCATAGGTTTAGATTTAGGTTTTAGTTCAAAATATCTTCCTTTTACATATAAGATTTATTCAATTTCATTAAGCCTTTTTAATTATTCAAGTTCATATCAACTCGAACTTTTCCTCAAATTCCAACTTTATTTTAGTTTGAACATGTTAAGATTTTTGTCAAATTCGAACTTGGAATGTTAGGGATATTTTTAGTGTGATGTTGTGAAAAATTTAGGGAAAAAAAAAAGGACGGGAAAGGAGAGAGAAGATTTTGGAGCGATAAATATTTTTAATTATGTGCATAATTTAATAAACATAGTGTAAAATTTAGAAAATAGAGAGGGAGAGAATTGATTTTACAAAAACGAGAAATGACAAAATTGGAATAAATTTTAAATCATGATGCTAATTGAAGATTTAAATAATACAACGAATTTACATGATGTGTACTACTAAAAGGGCAAATGGCAAAAAGGCCCATCACATGGGACTTAAATACATTTTGGTCCCAAAAAAAACAGTCTCTTAATTAAGCCCATCCCCATGTCTTTAGTCTAAAATACCCTCAATAATATAATTCTTATCAACTCCACCCATTCTGCTCTAACTTCCTTAATATTACACATTGACCCCGGATTTAAACAAATATATCACATTAACCCCCAAAACTTTTTTTTTTCAGAAAATAATATTTTTCTGAAATGTTTTTTTTCCGGCCAGATTCCGGCGTTGACTTTTTTTTTTTTTTGAATTTTTTTTTCCTGAAATTATTTTCCGGCCGGTCAACCACCGTTGACCGCCGGTCTCCGGCGTTGACTTTTTTTTTTTTTTTGAATTGTTTTTCTTAGAAAAAAAATATTTTAATTAATATTACTGTCTTGGCTACTAAATTACTGTCTGAGGCAGTAATATTACTGTTTGGGACAGTAATATTATGAATATTATTTTTCCGAACAATAATATTATTAATATTATTGTCTAAGACAGTTAAATTACTGTTTGAGACAGTAATTTAACATCCAAGGCAGTAATATTAATTAAAATAATTTTTTTTTAAATAATTTAAAAAAATAATTCAATTAACAGTTAAATTACTGTCTGCGACAGTTAAATAACTGCCGGAGACAGTAATTTAGCAACGAATACAGTAATATTAAATTTTTTTTTAGAATAAAAAAGTCAATTAACAGTTAAATTACTGTCTCCGATAGTTAAATAATTGCTGGAGACAGTAATTTAGCAACGAATACAGTAATATTAATTAAAATATTTTTCAAGAAAAAAAAAACAGAAGAGTCAATTAACAGTTAAATTACTGTCTCCGACAGTTAAATAACTGCCGGAGACAGTAATTTAGCAGTCAAGACAGTAATATTAATTAAAATATTTTTGTTAAGAAAAAACAAAATTATAAAAAAAAAAAAAAAAAAAATCAACGCCGGAGACCCGGCAGTCAACGAAAGTTGACCGGACGGAAAAAAATTTCAGGAAAAAAAAAATTCAAAGAAATAAAATAAAAAAATAAGTCAACGCCGGTCAACAGCGGCGACCGGCGGTCTCCGTTGGTGGCGGGTCAAAGTTGGGGTCAAAATTAAAATTATGGTTAAAATTGGTTAATTGATGAAATTGGGCTAAATTGGGGTGTAAATCATGAAATTAGAGTTAAATTGAGTTTCAATGAATTGAGGGTAATTTTGGTATATATAAAATGATTTTTCTTATTTGCAAATAAGTTTGAATGGGGTGGATTTATTTGAAAGACAAAAAAGTTGGATGTCCCTCTTTTAATTAAGTGCCCTTGTCATGGGCCTATTTGCCATTACCCCTTACTAAAAATATTAAATTTTCTGATAGTTAATTCGCGCAGCCTTTTGGTCATCTCCAACAGCTTGTTTAAAACTAGTTGTCTATATCTATAATTTAGCGGATGAACAGTGTTACAACACTTTTAAGTTTTAACATCACATTCCAACAACATTGTTTATATTTTACACAACTATCATATTGTATTATTTTGCAATTTTTATAATATATAATTGATTTGAAAAATTATATTTCAAGAACCATATTCTAACAACTATATTATAACCACCATTTAAAAAATTATTCAAAATTGTCATAAAAATTATTAATAAAGAAGTATCACATATAAATATTTTCATGAAATAATATCTCAACCTCAAATACTTGCATATATGTAGTTTTATTATATTTCTATATTTCAACTTCGGATAATGTAATTAATATAAAATACTTGGAATTGAATTCATACCATATTTTTCTTTTTAATTAATTTAATTGTTAAATACATATCATCATTATTGGATAAAATTAAATTATGTGCAGAGCAAAACATTATCCTTGTGTTCGTATTACGACTACAACAAACTTGCGTCTTGCTCACATGCAACGATAATGAACTTACGACTATAACATAAGCACATTTTTCTAGGTTTGTGAAGCTTCTTATGTCTATTTTTATGACTTTATTTTGTGTTTTAATTTAACAAAATCTACACACGACCTATCCATTCTAAATAATTTTTAAAATAAAAAAAATCTACAAATTTTGTATCTTACACTACAAGAAAAACTAGTTTCAGTGACCAAATTCTCAGCGACCACAACTAAATGGTCACTGAATATTCACATTTAGTAACCAAAAGTAATTTGGTAGCAAAAGTCGGAAGGGTCAAATCCTTTTGCGACCGACGAACATTTGGTAGCTATAAGTGGTCACTAATAGTTATACATCTTGTAGCAACTAAAGTTAAAGTTTGCAGCGACAATTTTTATGGTCACTATAACTTAGTGTCAATAGTGACCAATTTAACATCAATTTTTTTTAGCAACTAAAGTTCAAGTTTGTAGCGACAATTTTTATGGTCACTATAACTTAGTGTCAATAGTGACCAATTTAACATCTAATTTTTTTACAGTTGCTACAAGTCTTTAATTTAATTATTAACAACCATTTAATTGAGTTGCTAGTAACCACTTTAATTTGGTTGGTATGAAACTACTTATGAAAATCTAATCGATTTGGTTAGCACCCACCATGGTTCGCCGGAACGTCGTGGTCCGCGACATAATGTCGTTGAAGTTCCATTGTAACGTCGCATCTGCATCGCGGTCGCGTCACGGTCGGAACCGTCAAATTATAATAAAAATGCAAAAAAATATAATTAATGTCAAATAAGTTTTAATATTAATATTATAGTATAATACTATGCAAATTGTCATTAAAAATCTAATCTTAATTTTAGAACAATTCTTTATACCTTGAGAAGTAAAAATAGGGGGCGAAATTGTAAGCTATGAAATTATCTGTTTACTTTAAGAGAAATAAAAAGCCATAAGGACTAGATTGCAATTTTGGAAACTCAAAAAACTCTTGACTCAGTCCATCAGACCACGACTAGGCTCTCTGTCTTCTTTTTTTTCCGTTTTTCTTTTTATCTTTTCTTCTCTTTTTTTTTATCAGATTTTTCTCTCATCTTTTTTATACCGTTCCGCCGTTCCAACCTGTTCCAGCCGCAACACGGCCGTTCGGTGGTTCCGTCTCGCCCGTCCTGCCGTTATCTCGGTGTTCCGGCGCGTCACGATGTAAAAATCGGATTGGGTAGGGATTCCGGACCGAAGGGCACCGTTCCCGTTCCGGCCGTTCCGACGAACCCTGGGAGCCACCGTTGGAATAATTGTGAGTTCAGATGTACACCGGTGTTGGTAATTTCCGGCGGAGGTCGCCGATGTTGGCCGTAATCTGGAGTTCAAATTTTGGCTCTTCAAAGAATTAAATGAACGGAAGTCTTAACGGTGGATTATTGATGATAGAAGGTACCGTTACAAACCTCGAGAAGTTAGCTTCCCATTGATGGTGGTGCTCGGCGGTTTTATTCGGCGGTATTCGCCGAAATTTGGTGTGGAATTCACCCTGCTCGCCGGAACCCTAAGGGAAATAAAATCTGCTACCGCACCTGTTTCGGAGCCAAAATCGAAGGGTTTGGAGTGTGAATTTGGGAATAATTCCTTCTCAAAACTCGTAGAGGACCTCGAAAACTATGAGTAAGTGTTTAATTTTTTCCAATTCGAGCACGTGTTATAGCCTTTTAGGGGTCGGAATCAGACGACAGTGAATCTGTCAAAAAACAGGGCAGTTTTGCCTAATCATCTTAGGGAGCTGTTTTTATTATGTTGGAGTGATAATTTAGGTTATGTGTCTTCTGAAGTTTTGTATATTGAGTTGTCAGGTTTGATTTGGTATATTATTTGGTCAATTTGGATAACTCTACAAATTGTTATGATTTTTCAAAGAAGCTGTGACAGCAAACAAGTTTGTCCTAAAGAATTCTGGCAGTTTTGTGTATTCATCTCTTCGGGCTGTTATTGCTGTGTTATCTTCGTAATTTGGGGTTGGTATCTTCATCAAAATTGTAGATAAAGTTGTGACCTTTTATTTGGTATATTATTTTCCCAATTTGGATAAGCGTAGGGCCTGCTACAATTTTTGGAAGAAAATGTGACAACAAATAACGCTGGCTTTTAGTTTAATGTCCATAGTTAGCATCAATCTGTGTCATTAGTTATTTGAAATTTGTCTTATGCACATTGAGCAACAAGTTTAAAGTAATGTGATTGAAAGTGAAGCTTAAGAAACTAATGGATTCTTACTTCAGGTGTGTCATTCGTTGTTGTGTGCCTAAGAAATTTTTGGTCTATGGTGCTGCTTTTGGTGCTAACTCGAGGTGAGAAGACTTTGTTAGTTATTTCTTCAAGTTATTTACCTAATTTATGTGACGCGTTTTATTTTGATCAAGTAATACGCAAAAAACATTACAGGTGGGAACTGAACGAGAAAATTGATTTCAATTTAAAGAAACTTCTACACAAAAAGGTCGGTCCAATGTATTGAATTTTGTTCTTTGGTACCATATATTTAGGTTCAAGAGTGTTATTTATTTATTTTTATTTTTTTCTATGTAATATGTTTATTGTTGTTTAATAGGAGAAAACATTATTTGCTATGATGTGCGAGAATTATACATAACATCATATGAGGGTCTGTTAAGTAAATTTCTTGGTTGGACGATATTGAGTCAGTATTTGGTAATGTGTTGATCTTATCGTTACATTTTTTTCTAAATATATTCAGTTCAATTTTTGTTCTCTCTTTTGTTACTGCAAGAAGCTGGCTTTTTGTTTGACATGTATAAATTTTAACAAATCAATACTCTTATTTCAGATGGAGCTGATACATAAAATAATATTAGATTATCGGGTGTTGCTCACGTTTATACGAGATTTATTTGTCGTGGATCCAGGTATACTGAATATTATGTACTTTGATTGCATATTTGGTGATGAGATATCAGAGAACAAAGGAAGACTCAATTTCGGGTGATATGATATTTATTAAAGAACATTTAATTATGCTAAGCTTATCGTATTTGGTAATGCATTGATCTCATCGTTACGATTTTTGCTAAATATACTTAATTTTTGTTCTCTCTTTTATTAATGCAAGGACCAGGTTTTTTTGACATGCATAAATTTGAACAAATCAACACTCTTACTTCAGATGGAGCTGACATAGAAAGTAGTATTAACTTACCGGGTGTTGCTCACGATTATATGAGATCTATTTGTCGTGGATCCAGGTATACCGAATGTACGTTATATAAACATGAACCATAAAATTTGTCAAAATTATTTCTATACTTCTACTTATTGTGGATAAATTCTTTATATCAGGTAACTAGGTTGGTGGTCAATTGATGAAGGGAGTCGGGAGGAGCAAGTTCAGCTATATTGTGCATTGGGATCTAGGTGAGTTTTCTGAAATCAAAGTTCTGATCCATTTCATGCAATATTTCATATTAATTGTTTTTTAAGCTTCTTCAATTATTATATAAAGTAGAACAAATGAATTACAATTCCGTGTTAACTAATAATTCTCAGGCAATGCATCACATTAAACACATGGACTAGACGAGGTAAGTAGCTACTTATGCAAGAGCCCATATACATTATTGAATTATGAGTGCTACTAAGTGACAAATGATTGAAATTGATTCTATCATATGATTTCTTATTTTCTATTTGAATTTTTTTCCCTTTTTTAGGTTGGACTGTTTGATGAAGTGAAATGATGAAGTGAAAGAACGTTATCGTGGAAGTTATATTTTATTATGAAATAATTATAGGAATCTTTCTTATTGTTTGGAATGATTGATTTATTATTGTATTGAGTATGATAGATTGAAATTATAATATTCACATTTGATTGATAATATATAAATTTGCAATCTTTAGTTTTATTTTAATTTTTTTACAGCTACTACTGCAAATAAACATTAATGATTAATGCAACCAATTAATTATTGGTCTGAATTGATCAGTAAATTTAATAATTGTCGAAACCATGTAAAAACTATTGCAACCAATAATATGGTCACTATATATATATATTTTAGCAACCAACAGATATATTATTTATCAACCAACATATACCGTCACTATATGTATATTATGTAGCAACCAAAAAATGTGGTGGCCAAATATATATCCTATAGCAACAATAAAATATGGTCACTATACGTATATATCATTTAGCGACAAAAATTATATGGCCACTATATATGTTGCTATAGCAACCATGTTAATACTATTGCCACCATAAAATCTACATTAGCGAGTCAAAAACTGGTCGTTAATAAGTATTATTTTAGTGACCATTATTAGTTCGCCGCTAAATCTCATCTTTTAGCGTCCAAATAATTTTCTTGTCACTGAGTACTTTTAGTAGCTACCCTGTTGTGACCACCGGTGACCAAGCTTAATTTGGTCGCTAGAAGTTTTAGCTACAATTTTCTAACTTTTAGCGACCTTACAAAGTCGTCACTGAAACCAAAATTTCTTGTAGTGTTAGCAGTACTGAATGTAACAAAAAGAAAAGCAAATGCTTTGTATGAGGGTTTTACTTAGGGGTGTCAACGAGCCGATCTCGCTTGTTTTGGCAGGCTCGAGTTCTATATATGTGCATTTTTGTTGTTGCACTTATCCTTTTAATTATATTAGATTATTAGGCACGGGTGCATGCACAGGATATATTTCATTTCAATGAAGAAAAAAATGATTGACTTAATAAATAACAATAACATTTATATTAAGAACTATATTAACTATTATAATACAACTTATTAGTGACATTTAAATTTCAGTAACAACATCTATATTCATAAATTTGATAATAGAAATCCACTTGGTGAAATATATTATTAGGAAAATAAAATGGGTAGTGTTATAAATAATGAATCATTTACCAAAGTAGCATTTTGATTAAGTTTTTATTAAATCAATATAAAATAGATTAACAAAGATTTGAGCCGGGTCAACACAGTGACCCAGTTTCATTTGATGAATAATTACCCAAAAATGCATTAGTTGGGAGTTGAAATTGGACATTTTAACGCATTCAAAACTACTAACCATTAGAGCACATTAACTTATAAAAACACTTCTAACATATATATATATATATATATATATATATATATATATATATATATATATATATATATATATATATATATATATATATATATATATATATATATATATATATATATATATATATATATATATATATATATATATATATATATATATATATATAAATTTAACAAACAAGTTTATTAAAAAAATAATAAAAATAATAATAAATAAATCAGCGAAAATGCTAAATGCATGACCAAAATGCTGAATGCAGTTTGGCCGAAAATTGAATAAAAGGGTAGTATAGTACTTTCACCTCTCCAAGGGGTATGTCAAATGATGATTTTGGCTTGAGTTTATTCGGTGTTTATTTGGTAGCTAGGGAGTATGTAAAATAAGTCCTTTGAGTATATAGTTAAACTACGAATAAACTCAAGCCAAAATATTTTAATTAATATTACTGTCGTGGCTGCTAAATTACTGTCTCCAACAGTTATTTAACTGTCAGAGACAGTAATTTAACTATTAGTTGGCTTTTTTTTTTCTTCAATATATAAAATGATTTGTTTCTTCAATATATTTATTATCACTATACATTGTATCTTACCAATATATAAAATGATTGTTATAAGTTAATGTGCTCTAATGGTTAGCAGTTTTGAATGCGTTCAAGGGTCCAATTTCAACTCCCAACTAATGCATTTTCGGGTAATTATTCGTCAAATGAAACTGGATCACTGAGTTGACCTGGCTCAAATCTTTGTTCATCTATTTTATATTGATTTAATAAAAAGATCAATCGAATACTATTTTGATAAATGATTCATTATTTGTAACACCACCTATTTTGTTTTCCTAATAATATATTTAACCAAGTGGATTTCTATTATCAAATTTATGAATGTAGTGGTAACCACGTTTTGCACCCCATAATTAACCTTAATTGTGTTTTGCACCCTCACATTTAAAAAATGGCAATGTCGACCGTTAACTAATATTTCTCAGGCACAATGCTTCTTACATCGATTTCTTATGAGAGTGAAGCCCAAAAATCAATATATCAAGATATTTGAACTTTTGAAGAATAACAATTTAAAGTCTTATTCTAAATAATACATTTAATTTCTATCAACAAGGCATTTAAAAATATTACTAATGTCCTACAATTCTAATTCTATTTTATTTATTTATTTATTTATTTATTTATTTATTTATTTATTTATTTAATAGATATTAATCTTATGGAAATTAGGAATTTTAAATTATTTTGAAAATTAAAATTGAATCAAAATTAGAAATTATATACATTTTTTACTTGGATACAAAACATATAAAATAAATCAATCAGTTATGTTTTAAAGATATGTACAAGTTGAAATAATTAAATAATGTTAAGTAAGAAAACAAATCATAAAGAATAATGAAAATTCCTTGGAAAGTGTAAAATATGGGGATATATTGATTCTTTTTGGCTAAAATATCACTAGAGATTGAGAGAGGGTGCATTTTGTCATGAGATGTATATTTTAAGGGTGGGCTTTGCCAATTATAAGAATCTTGGTAAAGTATATAATTTTCTCTATATAGGTATATTACACTGCAAAATTCAATTTTATGGATTATGTTTAAATTCTTGTAAATGTGCATGTTATATAATATGCTACTTGGTAAAGGAAAGAAAAGTCCAATTGTCCATGTGTAGTCTAGCTTTAATCCGTCAACGTAGGAGCATGCCAGCCAAGTAACACTAAAATGGCAAAAAGCATAAAACAATAAAGGCTGAAAGAAAAAGGCAAAAGCATCCTTCTTGTTCTTGCTCACAACATTAGTTAACAAAAGACAAAATCTGAAACCTTCAATGTGTATGTGGGGAAGGTTTGCAAATAACCTTTACAAACTATCTGCGAAATTAATGGCACAAGAATCATAAATCGGATACTATTTGAATAACAATTGATTTTCTGTTACCTTTTTTTCTTTTTTTTCTTTTCACTTTTGTGGTTAATTTTGAAGTGTATTAATTGGAATTGCAGAGAAGGGATTACATTATTCAAAGCTCCAAAAGTGAGCTCTGGTTCATTACAAAATAGGAGTTGCAAAAATATGGATATCAAAGCCTTACAGGAATTCAAATAAACGATGAAAGGGAAGCTAGGGTTTCCTACTTCTAACTAAACTACCCTATAGCTTACATAAAAAACAGTAAACGCTAAACGAAAAAACAAAACCATTTTCTTTCTTTTTCTTCTTCATCTTTTGGGTCGGATCAATTTCAAAATTTCCCGCCAATTGTGACCAATTGTGCCTAGAAGAAAGAATCTATCTCAGCGTTCATTGTTTATAAAATAATTTGGATTCATTGTTTATAAAATTAAAAAAACAATGCTACACGTTATGTTAAAATAAAATTGCACCTGTGTGTGTTTATTGTAGGATAATAGATTGACTTTGCCACAAGTTAATATTAATAAAAATAAAAAAGAAATGAAAATTAGCTATAAGTTGATGTATTTCCTGAGAAATCAGGGTTCCTAGGCGAGATTTAAGAAAAAAACTTAAAATCGGGACCCCTATTTGACAAATCAATTTTATTAAAGGGTGTTCAAAATTAAATATACTAAAAACAAATAAATAATATTTTCTAAAAATTATGAAATAAAGATTATGAATGGAACATAGAGTGTAAAATTTATATTTTTATAAACAAACTTATAAGTTAAATATATTGACCACATTTGATTGGTGGTATTCTAGTAAGTAAATCCAAAGTATAATTCAAACTCATTAAAAAAATGTATAAGGATTTGAATGGATATATTAAAAAAAAAAATGAAATATAATAGAATGGTAATTTAAAATATCTTTTGAAAGCAATAGAAATAAATAAGTAAATAAAAATGATAAAACGTCATTGAAATAAAATTTTATAATAATAAAAACGAAAAAAACAACACTTACAAAATATCATCAGCCAACTTTTTTCTTCTTTCATTTCTTGCTTACGGCGTCGGAGTGAGGTGAAGATGAAGATAAAAACGGGTGGACATTTTTGCTTTGGTGTTGGATGACAAATGTGGTTTTATACTTGTATTGAGTATGATAATTAAGTTAAATATGTATAAATAAGGAAATAACCATTTATTATATAAGTAACATAAATGCTAATATTCAAATTTGTAAGAAAAAATAAAAGATATGATTGGCCAAATCAAAGGAAATTCGAAATTTCCTTATTAAATATCAATATAAAATGTATTTTATAATTAACATAAATGTAACAAAGAAACCATTTTTTTGGAAATAGGTTAAATAATAAATAAGACAAAATGTAATAAGGACTAATTAAGGAAAGAAGTCCACAAATAAAAGAAATTAAAAGATTTGGGATCAAAATTGAAGATGTCAAAATTTCAATTGTGTATTCTCGGTTTAGATAGATTAGATAGATTGGCTTTTGGAGTAGATTAATAAAATTTTCAATAGAAGTAGATAGATAAATTTGATATGGTAAATAAAATTGAACCCAAGATAGGCTATTACTCGATACATTTGTTTCGCCATTTTGTTTATCAATAATCATTTTACATTTATGATGCCCATAATAATTTCACACTACCTTGATATATATTATAATATTACTTAGTAAAATTAATATTAATTTTAATAAAAGGGTAAGGAAAAGTAAAATTTTCTATCAAGAAAACAAGGAAAAAAAAAAATAAATTCAAAATTCTAATCCCATGCCGAAATTACAAGGCCTAATTTAATTTAGTCATGCGAAAATGCCAAGCCCTAG